TGGTGCACGACTTTGAAAAGTCAGCTGAGTTCAAAACATAGAGAGGAAAACAAGAAGAGAGGGACACAACCTAGAACAGATAATGGATGTCTATTCTATTAACATTTCTCTATCTGGAGAATGGGGCTGTTTTACAGAGGTGGAACGGAAATACATTTACTCAAGTTACTGTATTGAGTAGGTTTTTTGTGTATTTTGTATTTTTTCAAGTAGTTTTTAAAATCGGTAATTTAAATTTTACTTGATTACGTTTTGAGTGAAGTATTGTATTTCGTTACATTACAAATCCATCTGTTACTGAGTAAAAACCTGACATTGGTTCTGATAAAGAAACAGAAACATGTTTTGGTAAGTATTTAGTGCATATACATTTGTATAGATTTCTCTTTAATTAAAAACTAAATAGTTTTGGATTTATGACTCCTTGTCCTATTTTCACTACATGGGAGAGATCCCCTGCCCCGTTCAACTGTTTTATTTTTAAATGTAACTAAGTAACTTTTACTTAAAATACATTTTAAATGACCTACTTATTACTTTTACTTGAGTAATTTTTCTGATGGGTAATTTTACTTGTACTTGAGTAATATTTCATCCAAGTATTGGTACTTTTACTTGAGTATGATATTTTAGTGCTTTTTCCACCTTTGCTGTTTTATGTGTTGTCTCCTCCATTCAGAGGCCCCCCTGCCTGCCTTTGCCTGGGGCCCTAAATTTCCTAAATCCGCCCCTGGGTCCACTTCTACTAATGTGAACCAGTTCAGCAGGTTAAACCGGAAATACACCTGTGTCCCATCAAAATGTCCGAATACCTCAAATTCCAAAAATATCTACTCAGGTATATTAACGCCATAAGTCCTTACAGACAGAACTACAGCAGTTATTACGGTAATCTGTAGCAGTGGGTTACCTGCTCTGCCTCCTCAGGTTAGTAATAAACCGCGCAGGTAGAAACCGGTGTGAGCGTCACGTGACGCCTGAGAGCCAATCAGGAGCGCAGCTACAGGTTCTTCCAGGTGCAGTTGATGAAAGAGGACTGACGTCCGCGGAGCCGCAGAAACTAAATGGTTATAAACTAAGATTTTCCCCCGATTTTTGGGAGGAACGTTGGAGCTCATTTTGTCACCGGAAGGAGGAGGAGGAGGAGGAGGAGGAGGTGCGGGATTACCTGATGGCTCTCCTTTTATTCGCGTTATTAATGGTTTGGAGCGCGGAATGGAACAAGGCCACCGTCCTCGGTAATTTACACACACATGTTAAATGTTTTATTTTAAGTGAATTTATTCATCCATATGACCTACATTAAGAGAATAACGTGACGCTGATAGTTCAGGGTCAGTGATCCTGTGGGCATCATGTCCGCGGTCATATTTGTCACGGAGTCACGTGCTGTTGCCTGGCAACACGTCCGGATCCGGACTTTGGACCCTGAGTGCTCTTTATAAAACATTTCAAAGATCCAGAGAGAGACTTTTCATCTGGGAAGGTGATTGATCTAAGCTGAAATAAATCCATGTCCATCGATCTCACATTCTTTGCTTTGTTTGTTTTAAAGCTTTTAAAAGTTTCCTGTCCTGGAAGTTAAATGACCTGACTTCTAATAGATAAAATCTAGCCACAACTTTGAGAAAGAGTTTTAGAATTTGAATTTTATCCTCATCTTTCACTTTGTGCATTAGACTGATTCCACTAACGGCAAACTAGACCCTATAATGAGGCATGATGCAGCCACCACCATGCTTGAACACCAACTGTGAAGTTTTGAGACTTAAAGTTCTACAAAACAAAAGGGTTAAAAATCAATTCATTGCACTTTCAGTGGATTTTTATCATCTTTTTTTGGAATGACTATGACCTGGATGACTGGGAATCTTCACCAGCAACCTTAACGTTGATTCCTCCTCGCCTGCTTCTAGTAATAGTTTTTCTAGAGATTAATATGAGTCCATTCACACCGTAAAATATTTAATCAGAAGGC